TTTAATTTGATATTTTTTATAATTTTTGGTCCAAAAATGATAGAGTTACGTATTTTGTAAAATTAATTCTTTTTAGAAATAGAGTTTCTATTAATGAACCTGCAAATTTTTTTTCTTTTCGACTGTTAAGAGGTTGATGATGGGGACATTTTTATCTTTTCATATATTGTATTTTTTATTCAAAAAATATTTTAAAAAATTACAGAAAAATATCCATTGTAGGGCTTGAACTACAACAAACTATTAATGTGATTGTATATGAGACTATGCAAAATAATCTTAAAAAAATAGTTACAAAATTATTTTATAGATTATATATTAATTTTATGAGTTTCCTAACATTGATATCAGAGTGTTTTTGTTAATTATATGTTTAATTTTGTTCTAATTTTCGTTTTTGTTGAATGTTTGAGTAATAATAGTTTTTTACATTTAATACTTTTGTGTTCTATTACTCAAATATATGCAATGATGGTCTTAAAAGAAAGTAGAGACCAAAAGCTTTAATTTAAAATATTATTTGTATTTTTTGGACAAAAAATTAGAGAGTTATATATTTTCTAAAATCAATTCTATTTAGAGATAGAGATTCTGTCAATAAATTTATAAATTTTTTTCTCTTTTGACTGTTCAGAGGTTAAAGATTGTGATAGTTTTGTCTTTTCATCTATTTTATTTTTTTTCAGAAAAATACTTTGAAAATATTATAGAAAAATATCTATTGTAGGGCTTGAATTACGACGAACCATTAATGTGATTGAATATAAAATTATGTAAAATGATCTTAGAAAAATAGTTAAAAAATTATTTTATGGATTATATGTTAATTCTGTAAATTTCTTAATATTGGTATCAGATTATTTTGGTTAATTGCATGTTTAATTTTGTTCGAATTTGCATTTTTGTTAAATGTTTAATTAATAATATTTTTTACATTTAATACTTTTATGTTCTATTACTCAAATATATGCAATATTGGTCTTATATGAATATAGAGACTAAAAACTTTAATTTGATATTTTTTATAACTTTTAGACAAAAAATAAGAGAATTATGTATTTTTTAAAATTGATACTATTTAAAAATAGGCGTTCTGTCAATGAACCTGCAAATTTTTTTCGTTTCACTTGTTCAGAGGTTTAAAATGGGGACATTTTTATCTTTTCATCCATTTTTTTTAGTAAAAATACTTTGAAAAAATCACACACAAAAATGTCTATTGTAGGGCTTGAAGTACAACAAACTATTGATGTGATTATATGTGATACTATAAAAAATGATCTCATAAAAAAGTTACAAAATTATTTTATAAATTATATATTAATTTCATAAGTTTTCTAACATTATTATCAGAGTATTTTGGTTAATTATATATTTAATTTTGTTCCAATTTACATTTTTATTGAATGTTTTAGTAATAATAATTTTTTACATTTAATAATCTTGTGTTCTTTTACTCAAATATATGTAATGTTGGTCTTAAATGAAAGTAGAGACCAAAAACTTTAATTTGAAATATCATTTATAATTTTTGGACAAAAAATTAGAGAGTTATAAAATTTCTAAGATCAATTCTATTTAGAAATTAAGTTCTGTTAATAAACCTAAAAAAATTCAGAAGTTGAAGATAGTGACACTTTTATTTTTTTATCTATTTTAGTTTTTTTCATAAAAAATATTTTGTAAAAATAATAGAAAAATATTTATTATAAGATTTGAACTACAATGAACCACTAATGTAATTGTATATAAAATTATATAAAATAATTTTAAAAAAATAGTTAAAAAATTATTTTATGAATTATATATTAATTTTATGAGTTTTTTAATATTAGTATCAGAGTATTTTGATTAATTCAAAGTTTAATTTTATTTTAATTTATATTTTTGTTGAATGTTTGAATCGAGCAGGTAGGATTTTCTAAAACAGTGCGTATAGGCTAATCCAGCAAAAATGTACATTTCATTTTTGTTCTATTTTCTTTAACATACATTTTATATATATATATATATATACATATTTAAAATACAGAGAAGACCTCGTCGCCTCGATGGCAAACAAATAACGAAATTCCAATTCCCCCGTTCCCCTTGACTTTGCTTAATCATCCTCATCCATCGAACTCTCTAGAAGTTGGATATCCATTTCCTATAAATAGCATCGCATTTCCTTTCCTACAGTCCTTTGCTCTTCCAGTCTTCCTTGTTTGCGTGCGTCTCCTTCAATTCTTGCCTCTCTAACATTGGCATCCCAGTTCTCTGAAAAAGCACAAGAAGGATTTATAGATGACGACTTCAAACTCGCCGTTCAACTTTACTCCAAAGCCATTCACTTGGACCCTAACAGTGCTGATCTTTTCGCCGACCGAGCTTAAGCCAACATCAAACTCCACAACTTCACTGGTACTTGCTGCTTCGCTCCTCTGTCCTGTATATACAGACATATGTATCAGTACACGTGCTTGTGTATTTTTCATGCTTTAACTGAGTGCTCTAGCAGACGAGCATTCGCCACTAAACCAGACAAACATAATCTAGATTTATAAGTTCCTAGTGTTTGTTTCCATTAATCGTTTAATCTTCATATTCGGGTTTGAAATTTTCTTTTCCTCCTTTTTTTTGGCCCATTTAGAATTGCTGTTTTCTTCTAAGTTTTAACTTAAAAATTTATGTAAATAATTTTTTTGTTGGGTTTCCGCTGTTGAGCAGAAGCTATTACCGATGCAAACAAAGCAATTGAGTTGGATCCCACTATGTCTAAGGCATACCTGCGCAAAGGGTAAAGTCGTCTTTAGAATCAGTGGTTGTTTAAAGTTTCTATCTCGGGTAATGCATGGAGTTGGTGAAAAAAAAAGAGTGCACCTTTTCTAGGGCATGCTTGGTAGCCAAAAAAGACTAGAAATTAAAGGGCTCTTATATTTTGCAAATAGACTGCTGGATCATAAGACTAAAATTTGATTTACTAATGGAATGAACATGCTATGTTTTCCCATGTTTTCTGTTTCTTGCTCATTGGCATATATTGCATCGCTTGTTTAGGAGAATATGTGCTCGTGCTCATGTTATGGTGTGCCTAATTGGTAGCTTCTCTCCACATGAGCATTTTGTTTTTGCACATATTAGAATTTCCTTCCTTGTGCCAGTTTTAGAGCAATTGATTTATTGAGTCATATGTCATATTTTGTAGCACTGCCTTTATGAAGCTTCAAGACTATTGTGGTGCAAAAGAAGTCCTTGAAAAAGGTGCTTCTCTAGTGCAGAATGATCCCCGATTCACGAAGATGATTAATGAATGTGCTTTGCTTGCAGGAGGTATTTACTTTCCTTTATGGCTCTTTTACATCCATTTATGAATTGCAGGTTTTAGCATCATGGTTCTGTTAGAAATATTCTTGAGTCTTGGTTAAGTAAAGTTTTATTTTCCGTTGCTAAATTAGAATGATCTAGCCCTTTCAAATTTTTGGTTGTTCTATCAGCAATGTTATTTTTTATTAATAATTTTTACAAAGCAACTGAAATATGTGGCAACGCCCTCACTTCTTATGTGATATCTACTTCAAACAATTTTGCTGTTTTAAAGATCAGCTTTCAGAATGTTAACGGCAGGGTGCATTTCCAACTTTTGTCCCACTTAAAGATTTGATTTTTATTAGTTTTCTTCCCCTTCAAGATTGGTATTGATGTTGTGCCCTAAAAAATAAGAAAGCACTAACTAGTGTTTCTATTATCTCTTTCACGCTGATTCATGGAGTTGATCTCAAATTTTTTCTTGAGTCTAGATAGAACTCTTCTTTGCAGAATTCGAGTTTGAATTTTGGTTGAACCGTGTATATAATCTATATCTAAAATATATATTGTCTATTTATCAGAGAAAGAAACTCTAATTAAGCCCGTGACCCCAAGTTCGCCTCCTAGTCCTACACCAGCTTCTGTTGGCTTCCGTCACATGGAGCCTGCATTGTCAATTAAAGCAAGATACAGGTTGCTGCAGTTTTCCATGCTTATTATAGTGTCCTATTCCTCATCCATCTCAATACTCATGTTTCATTTTCAGCTTCTTTACAATATGATGTGATAAAACCTTCATGTATGTGTTAAGCAGCATGGTAGTTTTGTATTTCTGTTACTATTTTTTATGTACTCCCCTCATGCTAAAACATCTGAAAGTTGTTATTTTAACAGACATGAATACTACCAGAAGCCTGAAGAAGTGGTTTTAACAATCTTTGCCAAGGGAATACCGGCAAAAAATGTGGCTGTTGACTTTGGTGAACAAATTGTATGTTGTCTTTTTTGCCAGAACTATTGTTATTCCTTTGGGATATTCAAATGGCTTTCTTTGTTTTCTATAGCATGATTAATGTTGAATGTAATGTTTCTGTATTGCAGGTTAGTGTTTCCATAGATGTCCTTGGAGAAGATGTATATCATTTTCAACCTCGATTATTCGGAAAGGTATTGAATGAGTTTTAAGTGCTATGCATTGCTTTTGGATTGATCCAACATAATGTTGGATTTAGTATTCTCTGAATGCATTTCAATCAAAAGTGCAATCATCTGCATTTTATTACTCTTTTCTACTACCGTTTATGATATAATATGTGGACACTATCTTTGTTTTATCAGTTTACGTGTGCTTTCTTTTCATTTGGGTCTTTGTAATGTTTTCTACTTTTTGTTTGTATTTTCCCTAGCCAGTGCTTTAGAGGGATATCTTATCCTCTGTGATTATAACTTCTTATATTTAGTTTAAATTATATTTTTTTATAGATAAAGTGTAAATGTTTCTCTTGAGATCATCTCCTTACATTCAAGATTTTTACCCCATGGAGTCCGAAGATAGTTGTTGATTTTAATACGTGATTTGCTGTAATTAACTAACTTATTATCATGTATGATAGGTGTTATTAAAGGTTTTTAAGTTATATATCACATAGATATGATTTGTAAGCTATGCAAAACGAAATTTTATTACGTGGCTTGGCTTGGTTAATGTTCTAAAAGCTACCATATGAGCTTTTGGGATATCCTTCCAACAAGTATTCTGGCACTTCCTTTCTAGTTTTTTTTTTTTTTTTGAATATAAGGTATGCTATTAAAAGTTCCAATGTGGTGCAAACCATTTACAAAAGTTTTACAATTCTGTCTTAAGTCAGTCAACTCTCCTAAATCCTCAAAGAAATAGACGGGATGACCCCTAATAAAAGAAGTTAAGGTCTGAAACTAAGAATCTTTCAATCTATCAAAGACTGCTCTATACCCTCAAATGCTCTTCTATCTCTTTTTCTCCATATGACCCAAAGAGTGGCCAAAAGGATGAAGGTAAGACTCTTGTTGTAACTTTTATCCCCATGAATGCCCTTCCAAGCTCAAATCTTTTCTTTTACCAAACTGGCCATGGCTGAATTCATCCCCAAAAGGCCATAAGTGAAATTCCATAACTTTTTGGTGACAGAACAACATAAGAGAAAGGCGGTTGACTGATCTTGCTTCTCTTTTGTATAAATAACATCCATTCACAACGATCTTTCCCCTCCTGATCAAGTTATCTATATTGAGAAGGTCATTCTAGGAGAAGCTTTGACTCTCCAAATCAATGTCCACAGGAAATTTTCAATAACAATCATTTTGATTGTAGTAAGATTTAACCGAGAACAATTGTTTTGAGTCAATTTCCACCACGGTTCATCCAAAATTGTCCTAGGGTCTTCCCTACTGGGACAGGTACTGTAGCAAAGCAGCATATTCATCAATTTTCTAGTCATTTAGGTTCTTTACCAACTCAACAGTCCATGTACGTTACCCCTCTGAGTTTGGAAAGGAGCAGGTCACCGTAGCTTCCTCATTGCGTGCCAAAGAATAGATAGTGGGGAAGCGATGCCTTAAGACCACTCCCCATCCAATACTCCAATCAAAACCTCACACTACGCCCTGAAACATGCAACTAGGATTATGGTTTGGTGAAGGTTGAAACAGAAAAAACAGAGGATGATCGAGAACTTTACCCGATTATCTTTCTGGCTGTTCATGCGGTTACAACTTCCAATTATTCCTGGAGGTTAAACACTCTTTTTCTCGCCTTTGTAATCTATAAATAGACATATATTCAAGGAAGGAATCATTGAAAAATATTGTAATCATTTAGAAAAAATTTATGTAAATATCACCAACTCTTTCTCTTTCTTTTCTTTCTTTTTGATCAGAATCATGAAGGTGGTTTCTGATAGCCTTTACTCAATCTCCTATATTAGGAAGATGAACGCAAGCTCCCTATGAATATTGGTCCATTCTGTCAATGCCCTTATATAGACTGATGTTTCCCATCTCTGAATCAAGTCTTTCTATTTCCAATAAACAATTATTTTTCAGCTCCTGTATCCTACATTCAGCCCTGCTCCAGTATTTC